TACATATATAAAAAAAAAAAAGTGGGTGAGGCTAATAGTGAGGCGCCTCTATATTCCGGAAAATGCGGTAGATTACAACAGAGGGTTCAGTTTCCATGCTGCTTTCAATCCTTTGCTGAATGTGAGCAGACTCAGGGTCAATCAGTCTTCCTCAGATCGGACTCCACCTGAAGCCAGAAGTACACTGTGCCATTTTTAGCCCTTTTCGGGGTGACTTTTCAGTCGTGCGAGTTTTTTCCTATCAGGCCGACTGCCAGCCTGATGGTGCGTGGTGTAGTGTACAGAGGGTAACGAGGGGCGATCAGCCTCTAACGACCACCTCCCCATCAGGAATCGTGAAGTTGGGAGAAAATCAAACATGTTTGAAATTCACTCTGCCGTCTTAAGGTGGTCGTGTTTAAATCGCTCAGTGGGCAAACATGGATTCTTCTTCTTCTTCCTCTCAGATGAAAACCCAGCAGCATAGCGGGGGTGCAATGAGTGAAATGGAGTTCTTTCTATAAAATTGACAGACCGTAGTAGCCACGTTTGCTCATCCATGTCTTTGTCCAAATACGTCATTGCAGAGCTGAGTCTCACCTGGTTTTTAGACCTACAGTGTGAGCAGGTAGATCGCATCAGAGCGTCGTGCTGAGCAGACGTCGTGAGCTGTGAACTGTACGACCAAACCCTGCGGTTTAGTCGTACAGTATCAGCTGTAGCTGTGTGCAACGATTGAAAAAATCTCACAGTGTACGCCCGGCTTTATAGATCTACTAGCCGGTAACCATGGAGACGTGTGGCTGACTTCCAGAGCAGCATCCTGCCATGCTAACGGTGTTTTAGCTAACCTCACTGGCTTTAAAGACAGGAAAACTAGACCTAATTACTGACAATCCAAAGGCATTACTGAGAGGAAACAGAACAAATCATCTTCCAGTCATTTTACTCTCCGTCTGTTTTAAAACGAATTAAAAAACTGGAACTGGAAGATTTTAATATTTATAGATCAGATCAACGCTTCAAATTCAGTTATAAAGCTGAAGAAACTCCCTGGTAGACCTGGTTCTGTCCTTCTGCAGCCCCCTAAGCCTTTATTTTAACCACTTAGAATCAGTCTTTGGATGTTAGAGAAATTCTCAGAACAACTTTTAAACAAAAAGATAGTTTTGTTTTAAGCTGGTTTCAGAATCAGCTGGGTGAGGGGGCAGGTCCCGCCCATGCTGACGTCATAATAAGGACGTTTTTTTAAAGTGGCTCATTTTCCAGACAGACACCAATGAAGCATTTAATTATCGGCAAACAGCTGGACGTTTTTAAGACTGATTTTAGCAGCAATTGAAATAAAGTGAATTTTGCAGAATAGGTCCTTTTAACCGACTGCAGTTTTCATCTGAAATCCTGATTTCAAACGTAGAGACAAATGGAGACAGAAGCAGATGGAAAAGCTGAAGCGACCAGAAGCAGAATGTTCAGGATGTCGCTGCAGGAACAGGTTTGGACTGCTTCTAAGGCGCGTTGCATGGAGGTACGCCATGATCACAGCCGCTCACATGCAGGCTGAGTTACAGCATCTGCACAGCTCTGTGTCGGACTGGAGCTAAAGGTCCACAGAGGAGCTCCTGCAGATGGAGCTGAACCACATCCATGTTGATTGGCAGGAAGGCAGCGGGTGAAGCGTTTACTACAGCCCAGTTATTTCCATAAATCTGTCAGCAGTCGTCTCATTTCATTACATCAGATTAGAGATCAAAGGAGGAGATTTTCCCGCAGTGCTTCTTATTGTATGAAAACCTCTGAATCTAAATAAAAAAAGTTCAGTCATTGCTCAACCTCCATTCTGCTCGCTGCTGTTCAGACTCACCGCTTTCCACCTCCAGCAGGGCTTTGGTCAGGATGCTTCCAGCCACGCTGATGGCCTGGCAGATGTAGAAGCCAGAGTCTTCCACTTGCACGTCGGCGATGGTGAGCTCGCCGCTCAGAGACACGGAGAAACGACTGGACTGAGAAGGCTCCTGGATGGGGAACAGCAGGATCTGGAGGAGAGACAGAGGCTTTAGATCTTTGCTTCCTTTCCTCTTTATTCCTGTTCACTCTGAGCTGCTGTGTCCCACGGCTGAGCCGGTCTGCTGCCCCCCAGCCTGGGATCCACAGACGGAAAGGAGGAGCAGGCAGCAGGTCAAAGGCTGCAGCAGCAGAGAGTTTACAGCTGGCAGGTGATCAGGAGCCCGGCCTGCAGAGCAAGAGCAAAAAAAGCTGCGTCCAAAGTTTCTGGTCAGAAAAACTCAGACCAATTTAAATAAACCGTGATAGTTTGGAAAAAAAAGAAAAATCCGGAAGGGAACTCTGAGCTTCTCCACAGGATTCCTCACCACGTTAATCACCGCTTCTATGAAAACAACGTTTTCTAAATAATAAATGAAGAAAATACCAGAAACTCTAAGTGAAGCTTCCAAGTATTTTTGTTTAAATTGATTACTTTGACTTTGACTTGTTGAGCTGTTTGGCCACCTGTTTCACGCCACCATCTGAAACCAGAGAGCAGAAAGCCTGAAAGAGGAGCATTTCTCAGCCATGAACACCGTTATTGGCCTGATGGAGCATAAACGGTCCAAGAGGGTCAGACCCGCGGCTACAGGCTCCACCCAGCACCTCCATCAGGAAGAACCATCCAGGAACATCCAACCCAGAACAAACCGACCAAAAACAGCTTCTTTCCCAGAGCTGCTGCTGCTGTTAGAAACCCGTCATTCTGTGACAAGCAGGAAGCGTTTGGGTTTCCTAACTGATTTCTTTCTATGATGCATCATTAGAATCATTTCAGATGCAGAGTTCAGCTGAACTTCAGGTTCATTAAAGGTAACAGAACGATGCAGTTTAAAGGTTATCAGGGCCTCTGGGTGTTTTTCTCTCTGTTAGATGTGTTTGTTCTTCTGTTGGACGGCGTTCAGTCAGATTAAAGCAGGAAGAAGTCCAAACCTCCTCCATCTTGGTCAGGCAGAGCTGGAATGTGAACAGTAGCAGCAGACTCTGCCGGCCGCCTCTACATGACGAGGGAAGCCTGAACTCTCATTCCCAGCGTGCTCCTTCTCTCTCTCACCTCTTTATCTCTCTCCTCCATTCCTTCTCTCACACATATTTTCCAGGCTCCTCCAATCTGGTTCCCACTCCCCTATAATCTCTACCTGGGTGCCTACACACTCACTCTATCGCTCTTGTCATCAATCCAACAGGCAGGAACTCTTATCTCCTCATTCAGACATGGTTGTTCTGAAGGCCTGAGCAGAAGAATGATGCACCAGGTGGACGATGAAGGATGTTTACCGTGAGTTAGAGCGGCTCTGAAGTGATGGAAGGACGGACGACAGAGGAGAACCGGACGGAGTGATGCTGTGAGGGTTTAACTCAAAGTCTGTCTCAGAAAAACGCAGCAAGGTTGTCATAAATGATCCCTTCACCTAAGAATAAAGTCAGCTTTCGGAAAACTGACCTTCTTAGAAATCTTTAGCTTTGTAACATCCACCTCATTTGATGTAATCCTCACCTATTTTGCAGACCCAAATGGAAAAGGTAATACCTTCTAGTTTCTGCAAATAGTGAGGAGAACACAGCCTAAGCTACAACAGTTCAAACATGACTCAACATTGTTTAGTAATAAAGACATGCTCGAGAAAAGACACGTCTCATTGAATTACATTTGTTCTAAATCATGTCAAACACAAATACAGAAAATTTCAGACCTCTGGCTGCATCAGTTCCAGAGCTGTGGGGTTTTGAACTTTTGGTGTCACCAGCGTCTCCAAATCTCTCCAATTGTGCCAAATGCTTTAACTCAACTATTTGATCCATAGAATAACACTGAAGCATTTTGATGGCCACAAAACATTTATAAGGCAAGTATTTTCCACTTTTTCAGGATCAGTGTATATATAACAAAATAAACTAAAATCACATAAAAATCTATAAAAAAATATAATGAAACTGCTGCTTTTCAAGCTGAAATAAGCCCCAGTGCCTTTTCCAAGCCTTATTTTAGTTTTCCTTTTTCAGCCGTAGGCATTGTAATAAAATAAAATCAGCATCTGAACTTCAAAAATATCAGAGTGTTGTTATGATTCAGCTTTGAGCTGCACGCATTGATCAGCTGTATGTCACTCTTAAGCAAGCCTGTAACACGGCTCTGCTTAATGCAACCCCGCCATGTCTAGCCTTGTTTGAAACCTTATTTCATTGCCTACGAAACCTTATTTTATTGGCTACGAAACCTTATTTCATTGCCTACGAAACCTTATTTCATTGCCTACGAAACCTTATTTTATTGGCTACGAAACCTTATTTCAATGCCTACAAAACTTTATTTCAATGCCTACAAAACCTTATTTTATTGGCTACGAAACCTTATTTCATTGCCTACGAAACCTTATTTCATTGCCTACGAAACCTTATTTCATTGCCTACG